TCCCAGCGTCGCGTGACTTCCGCTGTCGTAACAATACCCTTGAACAATATATTAATCATCTTAGAAATTTTGAAGTATTTTGAAATCAAACTTTTTCTAGTCTTTCACTAATTTACAAATCGTCACAATTTGGTATAATTATAGGTTGAGACAGAAATAAGTTTACGGACTTACAACGCCAAAATCAGGGTTTCGATTCTCCGTAATGGACACAGCAGATAACCCAATGTGACTCTGCTCTTAAACAAACAAACAGAAATAAACTTGTACACAGTCTAGAAATCTATAACATAAGAATTTTTGTATCTCAATTCAAAACTCGCTGGAGAAAAAGGACTTTCTTGACACTTTATAACAAATACTTTTTATTGAAAATAGTATTGTTTGTGATAAGCTGTAAATTATGTAAAAGGTCTTCTAAGTTCAGTGTATTATTTAATCAGTCTTCATTAACTGTTTTATCAAAGTTTTATTAGCAGACATCTTTAAACCATTTTAAGTGGCGTTGTTTTGTTTTATTTTAGGAAATCCGTGAAGCTTTTGATGCTGAAAGAACTTCTACAGGAAAGAACGAGTTGATTTTATCAATCGGAGTGCCTGCCGGGAAGGAACACATTGACAAAGGATTTGATATTTCCACTATAACAGAGTAAATCCACATATTGTATTTATAACTCGGCATGTTTCACAATTGTTTATAATGAGTTTTACACCATTATAACTACGTAGGCATGTTTCACTTTTATTGATAAAAGTTTATAGATCGTTGTAAGTAAGTTAATATGTTTCACTTTTACTGATAGGAGCTTATAAATCGTTGTAACTAAGTTAATACGTTTCACTTTTATTGATATAAGTTTATATGTGTCATTTTTATTGATAGAAGTATTTTTACATCATTATAACTAAGTCGTCATGTTTCACTTTTGTTTGAGTAACTATATTTTCGATCAATGTAACTAAGTCGACATTGACCATGTTGTGAAAACTGCGTAGTTTGTTATACATACATCAGTAAGTTCTATACATTAGTTTAAACTAATGTCTGAGTAACTAGATATATATATATGTTTTGTAATTGGCTACACAAGTTTACTTTTGTTAATAACGATAAATCTACACTTTTCAGCATTTGTATCATATCTCTATAGGCTGACTGTAAATAACTTCTAGTAACCATCTTAGTTTTTCTCTGTCTAAATGTTTTCCCCAACAAACCTTTTGTAAAATACTCTTATAGTTTAAGTTGAATTCTAGCGATTCAATTTTTATTTATTTAGAATATGTTTCATTCCAATGCCTCTTTTTTTGCTTGAAAACTATTTCGAAAACATAATTAATTTAAGTCAGGGAAAACCATAACATTATTGAAATGATAACTTCGATAAAGTCAAAAAGATGACTGGCTGATAATGCATGAAGATGTAGAGTTTTTGTTACTGTACAGTTAGCAATCATTATGTTTCGATTCGTCAACCACACGCTTCCAGTTAAAATTGTTTTCGTCCCAGGGATTCCTATAAAACTCCATACCCAAGATAAATAACTAATCCTAATTTGGAAATACAAAGTTAAAAAAAAAGGTAGATAAATCAAGTGAAAGAAACCAAAAGCTTTTAATGTTAGAATGTAGCTACATTTGAATTGTTTTTAAGTTTACAACTTAACATAATTTATTTCATATTTGTTTGCGTTTTTCTCGTTTCACGAAATTATCCGATTAGGCGGATTTCTGTCAAATATTTTTAAAATGTGGAAGTAGCAGTGAAACTAACATTAACGACATTTCTATACAGCCGTTTCTGATAATGTTACTGACGTGCTACTAATATTTGTCTTACTGGAAACTTGTACTGGACCACGTAAAGGTGGAAGTTAAAGGCATTCAGTCATGATGTGACGTTTTATTCACACTTGCTATTCTCCGTTTTCTTCCACCTTTTTTACTTTAAAGTTATGTTGACAGTTTGTTGTTGTTAAGCGCAAAGCTATACAATTGGTTATCTGCTCTATGTCCACTGCGAGAAATCGACTCCCTATTCTCACGTTATAAGACCTAGGCTTACTACTGAGCCAGCGAGAGATAGGTCTTTAAAGAGGTGAGGTAATGTTACATTTAAATGCAAAATATTGTACCTATATCAAGTTACTGTAATTAAACGCCGTCTCAAATGATAGCGTAATCATTTAATCCTTTGAATATTCGTGACAGTTTAAATGTTTTATTCTGTTTAACAATCTCTCATATCTTAATTAATTTGAAAGTTTGGATAATTTTTTTAATATTTTGTTCATAAAAAAAAAACGGTGTCAACAAAAATCACCCAGCGTAACGTCTCCCTGTTGTTAACTTTTCCATGTCGTTCTTTGATATTCTACATTTACGCTTTTTGTTGTGCATTAGATCGTGGACACTTAACTTGTACCTACAAAGCTTCTTTTTCAAAACTAATGAATTATAAATTATATAAATTTTTGGACTAATGACTGAATAGGTGCTACAAATTACTTAGCTCTACATATATATTAATGTCTCAATATATGAAAATTATTCAAAGATTGAAAACATTCATACGTTTTAAACTTTCACAAATTATTGTAGCTATTAAACCCACCTTATACTCTTTCCTATTCGTTTCCTTAGTTTCGGTTTAATTATAAAAACTTACTATATTTATGTGTTTCAGTTCTGTACTAACTTCACAAATTACTCTTTTTCGCTCTCTTAACGTTATTTGCACCAGCATATTCTCCTTTTCGACTGTACGTTTTACTAATTTCGACAAAATAAAATAAAACAAATTAAGCTTTTCCTTTCACACTTTTTAGTAGGTTGACTATGTTCAACACAACTATGAAAAATAAAAACAAATTCTATAAAAAAAAATACTCAAAAAAGACTTTCCTTTTCTATATCCATTCTCCAATCTTTTAAACACATGTTCTGATAATAGCTATTGCACTGTTCAGGCTATCAATAAAGACTACTTCAGTCATTCTTGAAATTGCTTTACAGTTTTTCAGCCCCTGAATGATGGATTAAATCGGGTTATCTATGAAGTATTTCTCAATTATATGTTTCTATGTTTGAACTCCTCTTACAGTTCTTGATAAAATGATTTGAAGTTTGCATCACCCCATGAAATATAAAGGAAGAAAAACATTTTTGAAAAAGTCATGAAGGACATAGAAATAAGATGTCAAGAAGGTTTTGGTTCCTGTCAGGTTTGACTGAGCCGATTAAATTGAAAATTGATATTAAACTGTAAGAAGTAATTCAAGGCAATAATCTCGATTTCGCGTGAGGAGTCCAAGGGATTTTCATGACTCTCACGATCGAATCTATGAATTTACATGAAAACTGACATTGACATGTAAAGACTCGTTCAAACTTTTGGAATTTACATATTGTAGCCCCCTAATAGGAAATCAATGAGGCTTTATTGGCTTTCAGGATTGGCAACATAGATGTATTTGAAACTGGCAAAAACATGTAAATATTCATACAAAACAAGTAGGCAAATCTTTTACGTTGTTAATATTTAACTCTGAATTCGCAAGGGTAATTATTTACTAGTCCATAAATACTATTAAACTGATTTTTTTTAGGTAAAAACCACACAATTACACAAAGTACATTTAGATCGTTTTTGAGTAGGTGAACCTTCTCTATAAGTGATTTTAAACAGTATAATGTTACGGTATGCGCTGGAATTCTAGAAAGATCGTGACTGTTCCTCGCAACTCTAGGCTTTTCTAGGCGTGCTATGTTCTCGTATATAAGCCGGAAAATAAAGTGACGGCGGGGAGATAATTGCAGATAGACAGATATAGAGACAGATAATCGAGCCAAGCCGTAAGTAAAGTGCGTGAATCGTTGTGAATTCTAGCGTGTGTTTAAGTTAAAGTGACTGTGGAAATTAAGTGTATTGCAAAGTTGTATTGAGAAAGAATAAACTAGTTTTATTTAAGAAAGGACTTGTATCGCTGAAGTATTTCGGAAAGAATTTCTACGGAAAATTATAAACAACCAGGGACGTAACAATATCTTTGGCAGGGTGAAAACGTTAAAACTAGAAATATAATTTTATGTTTCGTGAGTTGTTTAGCTAGATATCTAAGTTTCATAGCCTCAAAAAATATTACTTATGAAATTACCTATGACCATGTTTATTGTCTAAAAAAATATTTCGATAATTGAACAACTTCTGTTGTTAATTTGTTGATTTTAGAGTGATTTAAGTTTTAACTACAAATTAATTATTCTTTTCAGCAGCACTATAAATGATCTAGTATATCCTAGTCCATAATTAATAACACGGTAAACTGCCACGAGTATAATGGCCGATGGCTTATACTGATATGCTGATTACTAGCCTCAAGGTAATAAACGCAATACACCTGTTTTTGTTTTTTTTAAGACGACTGGCTTTGTTTAGGCAATGAATTATAACAATAAGAAGGCACATAAGCATCTGGTATGTGAAGACAGTAATAACGTAAAGAATGTTTAATAGGAAGGCCTCGTATGTTGCGGATCATCGTGTAACTCAATCTTTCAAGAATTCAGCATAGACAGGTAAAATCAATTACACATATAATATAATCATATAATCTTCAGTTTGTTTAACATTTCACAACAGAACAATGAGTTTTTATCACATAAACATACAATATCTGAAGAAAGTGTTAATATTCTATAAACGTACAATCAGAACAAAGCGTTTTTATCCTATAAACGTACAACTTCAAAACAAAATGTTTTTATCATATAAACTTTCTTCCTTTGCCTCTCTCGATTTATGCATTCTCTCTCACACCTCTTGTTTTGTTTTTTTTCATTGAAATCCTGTATTTTATATTCTTTTCTTAACCCTGTGCCAAACCATTCTGACCTTGCACCTGTTTACTGTATATCAAATTACAATGTTTCATAACCATAAGGGGAGTTGTGGCCTTCATAGTGGCCGAACTTAGAAGGCACCCACTATACCTGCTCAATCCAATCATTTTCTATTAATTTAGAGTGCTATAATCCCCTAATTTAGAGACAGACCAAAGGTTGACCACTTTCTCAACTTCAATGGATATTACCTTACAGGTTTTGCATAACACATCTTCCCTTTTTTCCTGAATGCATTCAACAATGTTGATTGTATCCAATCTCAGTTATGTTTCTTTCTAATCTCGACGTTATCCCATGCTTCGAAATTCTGGCGTATCTTTAGATTATTTCATCACTTATATATTTTTGTAGAAC